CCCGATAGTGCGTTAAAGACCCTGCCGCCACTAAGGATTTCCATAGTGGTCTAGCAGTTTAACACCAATTGGACTACGGCTGAATAGCCCGGAAACTCTCTGTTATTGACTTCGGCCGTGATAGCCTACGAAGCATAAAAAAACGTCAACAATAAAATACTTACTTTGTTAATGAAAAAAAATAGAGTGCAATGTCACGCTCACTGTGTATAGGCAAACGTAGATCGATTGTTCAGTGAAAAATATGTTTATGTTGAACAGGAAGAATAAATATTTAATATAAATTTTAATTGAACTTATTTAAGAAAAATAGAATTGAAACGAAAAAAATGTAACTAGGTAACAATAGTTCACATATAATCAATAAAACACAAAATCTCATTTACAGAAAAGACAGCACCACTATTATCTCTGCTAACGCACTTTGAATTGTGAAAAATTGAAATCAAATTTTAGTATAGCTGTTAATAATACGGTTCCAGTACACCCTATAAGTTTATGTAGTTCTATAGTAATAATCGCATCACGTTTTCGTCTCTAAAACGTGAAGTTTCACAAATCGTGTATTATTTTATTTCAATTTTGCATATCTTACACAAATGTCTTACCTTTATCTTCACTGAGATAACCAAATTAACACGATTTGTTTCGCATGAAGCACTAAAATGGATTTAACTTCCCTTGAATGGCTTCAGCAATATACGTGCACAATATCAACTGATCCTAGGCGTTATGTAGTTTCATAATCTAATACCATGTGGCAGCACACATTAATAAATAGAAGACGATTTAACAGCTAAAAGTCAAACCTCCTGCATGAACACCTCTTGAGTTTCCTCTACATTCATTTGCCTGAAAGTGTAAAAAGGAAACACAGAAAGCCACTGATCAAAGTAGTCAACATAAGAGAACGACCCCAGCACGAGTCAGAAACTCGCTGTTGTTCAGTATCTCAAGTATGGGTCGGTATCGACCCCGCAATCTTCCAGAGTGCAAAACAGCACGCTCGATGGTATCGCGTTGCCTTAAATGCTCGTCGGACGCGATGCTTATGTCCGAGTACATTATTTTAAATTAAACATTTTACCATCATTCTAATGACTAATTTACGCCGTAAATGCTTATAAAAGAATTGCAAAAGGGGTTTGATTCATAACGATTTTAATTTCGTTTAGTTTTGGGTTACAAATAAATTGAAAATATGTCATTACAAACACAATGAAATGAGTAAAAGCTTTGGTAACTTTACAGTTTTGTTCCGTACTTTTAAAAGTAAGTTAAAATTAATTTAGTAATAACAGATAGTGTGTATTTAGATTATTACACAATTAAAACTTAATCAATTTAGGCAGTTTCAAACAGTTTAGTGATGTGTTTTGAGGCGCGTCGAATTGCTTTTAAACGTGGGTAGCACAAAAGCCTGCTCGTCTTGGTCGACGTGTCACCAAATGGCTAACATGCCAAGGGAGGGCGTTGGATTAAAAAAATTAATAAAACAAAACAAAACAAACCTTTTCTTCGTCGCAAGGCGCAAACGAGTGGGCGTGGCACTCACTTGACGGTGTAGAGGTCGTGCGGATCACTACAAGCTGAGGGCAAAAGCCTGCGCGTCTTGGTCGACGTGTCACCAAATGGCTAACATGCCAAGGGAGGGCTTTGAATGAAAAAAACAAAAAACAAAACAAACCTTTCCTCCGTCGCAAGGCCCAAGCGAGTGGGCGTGGCACTCACTTGACGGTGTAGAGGGCGTCGATGCGCAGCGTGACGGCGGCCTCGCTGCGCGCCAGCGCCACCTCGTGCCACTCGAGGTCGTCGAGGCGCAGGCCCTTGGGAGACGCCACCTCGCGCTCGCCGGCGCCCACGTTGATGTGCACCTGCGCACGAGTACAACGAGCACAGAGGTATTACTCGCGCAACTTTTCTTGAACGATGACCTTGCTCCCCCCCTCTCCGGCACAATAAACAGATGGAGGAAAATGCTCGCAGGGAGCACTGATGACAACATTCCAAACACATCTTCACTGGCGCGAAATATATACAACTTTCTTTTGAAGACGAGAACTTCTATCAGTTATTTTCTCCAAAAACCTAAAGAAATGACCGAAGCAGGTAAATATCTATCACAGGAGATACCTCGAACGTCTTAGAAAGTTAGAACGCAAATTATTGAGAATGTTGCGAAGGCATGTCTGATTCTCCAGAGATAGGCATTGCTTGATAAAATCTAGTGGCGGATTTCGTAACTAATACCCCCACTCTAGACGGATTTCAATCCATCGTTCAAGAAAAGTTGCGCGAGTAATACTCAGGAGAAACAATTCAGGAAGTGTGCGATTCGCCGGTCTTCGGGCGGTCTCATTTCGAACGTTTGATAGAAAGACATGTGACAATACATAACGACACATGTACGTAAACCGTACACATGTACGTAAACGTACCAAAGACAAGTGAGAACGTAACTTCTAGGCTGTCCGGATGACTCCGCGACGTTGGCAGATAGGCCGACGTTGCGCCTGTCATGTCGCAGCCTTCTTCAGGGTAGTGACACAGTAAAGCTCCGTTTCCGGTGTTATATCTTTTACTGTATCACTACCCTGAAGAAGCCTACGACATGACAGGCGTTCGTCGTCCTATCTGCCAACGATACGGCGTCATCCGGACAGCCTAGAAGTCATGAACTCGAGCCGCGGAAGCCTACGTGTACAAGTGAGAGCGTAGGCTTCCGCGGCCGGAGTCAGTATTTACTTGGCTGTCCTGGTGAAGCCGCGTCAGTGGCGAAGGTGCCGACGTTTCGGTCGCCATTCTGCGACCTTCCTCAAAAAAAAAGCGTGGACGTGAGACAGAACTCAGCTAAGTCAGCCCTGCCTAAGTTAACTGCGAATGACAGAGGCCGCATCGTCCACCGGCACCATTGTGAACAAAGACGTGACATCGATGCTGACCAGAATGTCCGAGTCATTTACACGATGCTCCTGAAGTATGACAATAAGGAGGGGTCGAATTCCTAACAGCTGACTTGATGTCGTCAGTCAAAGGCTGCAATTTGTTGTCGGCCAAGAGGGGGAGAGGGTGGTGGGAGAGTTAATATGCGAGTCATGAGAGGCGCAGAATCGGGACCGTAAACGTAGGCAACTTGCCATGGCGGGTCACCCGGACAGCCAAGTAAATACGTACCTATGCAGTATCAAGACATCATTTTAGCTACGTTTCATGACGAACTTATTCAAAAATTAACGAAAAATCTCTTAAAAGTTTAAATTTCACCTCATGGCAAGCATTCGAGGGAAAAATCGCGCATGTCTCAGAAAACTTGTGAACAAGTCGGCCAGGATCTTCAGACTTTTTTTTCCAGAAAACACAGACGCTATTTGTTTCGAGACACGAAGGACGTTCTGAGCGAATCGGCAGGCCAGGTCACCGCACGCAGCCCCCACACCAGTCGCCATGTGAGACATGACCAGAAGGGCCGACGCCTCTGGCAAGGAGAGATTGGTTGGTGTGTAGCAGGTGCTGACGCCATAAAAGCGCTTCGACTTTCCTTCTTCTCTATCTTTCTCTCCTTCATTGTCCTAACATTATGTGAAATGGTGAGCGTTAGTTTATAGTATTAATCTTATTGCATAACTTTCTTTATATCGATTTCTCTCACATTTTTCGACCATTCCCAGTATTCTATGGTGACAATATTCTTGGGTGAATTAGCGTGAAACTAGCGATTCACGACAGGAGGGAGTCCACATTCTTATCTTTGATGTGCGATATACACATGATTTTCATGGTTAAGCATTATGGTCTACATTTTATGAGACTTTTTGTGCCATTATATATAAATGTGAGGAGGACTGTAAATTTAACGTTAATGCCTTCATACAAATACTTTATTCACGTAATTTTTTAGAAATACTTTTACATTCTCATAAAAGTACGAGCTTATTAGGAAAATAGCATACTTATTTTTGATACTCCTTGCGAGGCAGAAACAATCAGAATGGAATTAAATTTAATTAAATAGAATTATTTCATCCTGAAAAGAAAAGTAAAAGAATTTATAGTAGGATGTTGGAAGTGACGTCTGTTGAGGAAGCTGGATTGGATGTTGATCTTTCCTGCGAAGAAAAGAGATGCAGGTGTCTTAAGCCATTGCATATCGTTCATGCAGTGTGTCTAATGGTGTAAACAGTTCTTAGAAGGATGCGCTCTTAAACCAACGTAGATCAATCTAGAATGAAGATGCATCCGAAGTTCATCGTATTGAATAAAAATATTTCTAAGAGGAGAAACGAACATCATTCAAGCGTACTAAATTCTTCCGAGATTGTGCCAACTTGAGTTTTGTGAATTTTAAAGTGTATTTATTTTATTCACGGTAACGACTTTGCGGTATATATTTTTCCCCTTAATTTCTAAGCGCTAAGAGCATTTTCTTGCTGTACTGTGCGTCTGAATCAGTATCCAAAGAGCGAGAAAAAAATCTAGACTTAGAAATCCTGAGCATGCCAATGTCTGCCGGAATATCTTTCTTAGGAGTTACAACGCGCTGCGAGCGCTGGCGCTCGCGTCTGAAACCGTAAATTGTCCCCGACCTATCAAGTTACAGAAACCAGTCGCTGCGGGAAGTTATTGCATGAGGCGGATTCCGCGAAAAGGGTCAGGCGAGAGGAGCGCAGGGGAGAGCACGCCGGGTGTTGGGGTGATGGACGGAATGCCCGTCCCTCCGTCGGGCTCTTTCTTGCCCGAGCTGAACGAAACAACGCAAATGTAACGAGAGAAGGACTAGCAACGGCTAGTATCAAGCCAAACAGAAGCAAAAAATTATTAAAGAAAAGACCGAAGCAAGCGCAACGAACGATCAAAGTGTGCGGCGGGGTTTGGGGTTGAGGTGCATCTGGGCCGCGGGGCGCGGGTGGGGCGTCGGGCGTGGGGCCGGGCGGGGAGTTTGCGGGGGCGGTCGCGGATTGCGGGCGGGTTGGGGGCGGGACGGGCGCGACGGGGCAGGGGGCTCAGGGCGGCGAGTGGCGCGGGCGCGACAGGGGGCGGGGAGCGGGCGGGCGGCGAGGGGCGAGGCGGCGTGGTGCGGCGGCGCGGCCGGGGGCGGAGTGGTGCGGGGCGGCGTGGTGGGGGGCCGGAGGGGCGGAGTGGTGAAGGGGTGGACGTGGTGCGGGGCGGAAAGTGGTGAAGGGGCGGCGCGAAACGGAGGGGGAGTGGTGAGGGGCGCGCGCGGCTGGGGGGTGGTGCGGGCGACGTGTGAGGGGCCGGGTGGTGCAGGGGGGAGTGGTAGGGGGAGCGGCGGGGCGCGGCGGGCGGAAAGGGCGGCTGACGACGGGGTGGGGCGGACGCGGGCGGTCGGAGAGGCAGGGGCGAGCGGGGGGGGCGCGGGGATGGGGGGCGCGGGCAGGGGGACGCGGGGCGGCGGGCGGGGGGGCGGACGGGGCGGCGGAGGGGGGGGCGGGCGGGGCGGGGGACGGGGAGGGGGCGCGCAGGGGGCAGGCTGAGCGGGGTGGCGGGCGGGAGGGGAGGGTCGGTGGGAGACGGGAGGGGGGCCGCGGGGGGGGTCGGGCGCGGGGGGGCGGAAAGAGGGCGGGGCGGGGCGGAGGGGAGTGTCG